TACGTGGAGTACCCACATACGGGTATGTAAAGGTTTTGACTGGAAAATCGCTAACTCAGTAATCAGAGTAGCTGGAAAGTTGAAATTTTGGGAGAATGTTCCCTGTCCAAGTACCGTTTAAGTATTTCAGATTCAGCTTGAGGTATGCGTGGTTCTTACGCACGGTTACTTAAAAATCTAGGCGAAAAAATTTCTTACTGAACAACTAGGTTACTTTTAAAGAATGATTGTTAAGTGGAAAACTACTTTGTAAAAATTTATGATGATTTATGCTAGTGACCGCAACAGGTAGGTGTAAAGCAAAGCCATTCGTGCAGTCAGTGACCTGAGTACTTCAAGTCCGGTGCAAAACCGCATGATCGCACCGGCCCGCCTGGTGCGTTCCAGCCTGGGTTTGTATGAAGCCCAGCAGTTTCGGTAAATGCTCGCTTTTCCAAAAAATAAAAAAATAAAAAATGAAAATTTCCAGCTCACTAAAAAGTGAAAATGTTGCTCGAGCGGTTGTTTGCCGGAAAATCCAAGCATGAAAATGAACTGAATGTTCATTTACATATTTGGGTGAGGGGGTCATTCTTGCAAAACGCACTCGTTTCTGATTTTTTGGTAAAGCTGAGCATTTCTCGTGTCCTCCACCTGCAGGGAATTTCACTTCCAAGCGGAATCAAGACCGCACTTGAAAGTAGAATATCACAGTGAAATTTCTGCCTCGCACCTTGCTCGGTAAGCGAAATATCCACTTTACTACAAACATCTTTGAAGTGCCCTAAATCGCGGCGCAAGTGCAAATACGCATTTTACGCACACGGTTTCCTATATAGGCGACAAATATGCACACAAAATTTCACCTACTGTTTTCCGGCAAGTTTTCGAGTTAGCACAGTACCAATTTGCAAACTTTGACGTGATCTTACGCAATTTACAAGCTTGCGCGACAGCTGAATTTGAAATTTTTAGTCCGCGTATGCACAGAGATTATCTCTGCAAAGTTTCAGCCCTGTAACTTGCTTAGCTCGAGAAATCTAGGCGCGTGTGTGGAAAAACCTTAAAACGGAGAGTGAAACACGGGGTAGGAACATATACCCAAAATTTCAGCCCCCTAACTTTCCTGGTTGCTGAGATGAAAGTGGGTGACAAAATGCACTCGTTTCTGATCACACACACACAGATAGCCTCTCGACAGTTTGCGTTTTTGCTGGCTGTGACAGCGCTATAGCGCAGCAAAAATGCATAAAAATACAGTTATGAAGGTAACACTGATATTTGAAACTAACTAGTTTACTGCAGCGTCAACTAAAAATCTGAGTTCCACGACGCAGGCGGCTAACTTACACTGGAAATCATGAATGTGTAAAGATGGGAGAGATGCTTGGGATAGGGTTGGCTAAAAAAGGAATTCCGACAGCAGTATTACCATCGATGATTATTCACCGCTTTGCCGATTTCTTCCTCAACGATCATCCGTTTTCCTGG